CATCAGCTGCCCCTGCTTGTCCATTCTACTTGAAACCTGTGCCCCAATGGTAGACGCCAGAGTCGTTTGAATCACCGCGAATTTCCCCGCTCGGTCTGCCGAGTACGTCCAAAATTGGGTGAACGTACCCGTACCCCTGTCGCAACCTACCTGGCAGGAACTTGATCATTCTCAACAGAGGTTTGTTAACAAATAAATTCTTAGGCAATTTTTAGGCTGTTAGTGTAATGCTACAGTCTACGCAACAAAGTGTGCATACAAGCCTGAGCCCTTTTTTACCCACAGAAACAGCACACACATATGAGCGAGGTTTATGCTCAGTAGAGAGGAACAAGTACATGTATTAAAACGGCTAGAGAAGAGGTTATTGATAACTTACTGTGTACTTCTTTCCACCGACATTGATATTGAGTATATCATCCGTATGACGTCCACGGGACATGATGTGGAAGTTCTGAAAATAACAGATTTCGGCAATGGAGTAGGAACGGCCCTCATACAATCACGACCACTTCAAACCCTTGCGGACCCTCGAATAAGCTATTGCAATTCTGAATCGTCTCAGTTGTTCTGGTAATGCAATAATATCATGTGTTTATTTTGCCGTACTTAGTGAGGCTTGAATAAACCTTTATCATCCCTATAAGGCTTTTGGCACGGTTCCACAAATCCAGCACAGGTAGAAAAAGCAGGTTAAGTGCTCAAAAACATTCGTTGATACCCGTACCGTAGGCTGCTCTTCTGCTTTCGTGAGGATTTATGAGTGCACACCGGTCTGTGAACGAAAATGTGCGAAGTTGTCTTTTACTGTTACAAGATGGTCCCTAATGCCGACTATTCGGTGTTCCTAATACCAATCTGTTGAACAATAAGTGCTCAGGAACAGGCTTTGACCCTACTCAGTAGCTCGCCGTTTATGCCATTCAGAGTCAGAGACCTATCTGAGCACAGATCGAATCATGTATTCATCGGAACCGTGCCTGAATCAACCCAGCCCTCCCTGCCTTAGATCATTCCGTAGTCGAAGATCGCGCCAGACTCGTCAAATAACCTTCAGCACAACATTACCATCTTAAACGATAGCTCAGTGAGAGGCCCATCTCTCAGATTGGGGTTGAATTTTGCCACAAAATATCGTCCTGTAGTATTTATACCAAAGGTTTGCATGATACCATAGGATCTAGGCTAGGGACCAATTAACCACAACTGAGAAGTTTAGGCGGCACGGTTGGGTTGCAAATAGGCTAACCGCGCGGTGTATGAATGATGCCCTGCTGGCCGCTTTGTGCAGCAGAGCAATGCTTTTAGCTACTGCACAATGAGAACGTCAACCAAACTCAATCGCAAGTGAATGCTTACTCAACGAAATTGCCTCTTTGTACATAATTCCCTTTCTATAATAGTAAAATATTTACAACATGTCGTTAGTAGGTGGTAGTACAGGACTTTCAACTGCTCAGTGAACTTGGATAAGAAAACGGAAGTATAGGGCTGATCCCTTTACATTCATCCAAGAACTCCGCACGATCTACGTTCAGCAGAATCAGCTCGTCAACTTTTGCTTTTCGTAGATCAACAAGGGTAAATACCAAATAAGTAAGTTCCACACATAAGGTATCAACAGGGTAGACTATTGAAGGGAAACGAGGCTCACTAACCTTTTTGTTCTGATTCGTACCTAACCAAAGACAGGAAAGTAACATATCAAAGATCTGGCGTGTTCGGACAAAGGAAGAGTTCACGAGTAGCCTTCTACCCTATCTGAGGAGCCATCTATGCTTTGATGCATAGAGTACACAACCGTTGAAATGTCTTGACGACAAAAAGCAGAAAGCGAAAGCAAAAAAAGCGGACGAGGTCGTGAGAAAGTGTTGAGAGCTCTATGGACTACGGTAAAAGAGCAGGCACAGGAACGTAGAGAATGTTCTTTACTTTCCTCTCCTTCGTCTGCTGACCTTTATTGAGAATTCGGTTTCCTCTCACGACAATAAGCTCGCCCGCTAACCAAACTAGAGGTAACCAAGCTAGAGGTATCGGATGAACCTACATAAATCTTTGTAATTATTTTGTTGCTTTTTTTTTATAATTGTGCATAGTAATTCATGGCCTGTCATAATGAACAATATAGGTTTAAC